AGACAAGTGTAAAATCATGCGGCCCAAGACACCCAGAGTGAAAGACAAGTGTGGGAGACAAGTGGAAGACAAGTGTAAACTCATGCGGCCCAAGGTACCCAAGTGTGAGGGACAAGTGGGAGACAAGTGTAAAATCATGCGGCCCAAGACACACAGAATGGGAGACAAGCGTGGAAGACGAGTGTAGGAAACAAGTGTAAACTCATGCGGCCCAAGGCACCCAGAGTGGGAGACAAGTGTGGGAGACAAGTGGGAGACAAGTGCAAACTCATGCGGCCCAAGGCAACCAGAGTGGGAGACAAGTGTGGAAGACAAGTGTGGGAGACAAGTGTATAATCATGCGGCCCAAGGCACCCAGAGTGGGAGACAAGTGCGGGAGACAAGTGGGAGCCAAGTGTAAACTCATGCGGCCCAAGACACCCAGAGTGGGAGACAAGTGTGGAAGACAAGTGTGAGAGACAAGTGTAAACTCATGCGGCCCAAGGCACCCAGAGTGGGAGACAAGTCTGGGAGACAAGTGGGAGATAAGTGTAAACTCATGCGGCCCAAGGCACCCAGAGTGGGAGACAAGTGTGAGGGACAAGTGGGAGACAAGTGTAAACTCATGCGGCCCAAGGCACCCAGAGTGGGAGACAAGTATGGGAGACAAATGGAAGACAAGTGTAAATTCATGCGGCCTAAGGTACCCAGAGTGCGAAACAAGTGTGAAAGACAAGTGGAAGACAGGTGTAAACTCATGCGGCCCAAGGCACCCAAAGTGGGATGCAAGCCCGGAGACAGAGGCGAAATCATGCGGCCCACGGATGCAACCCTTTGAAAGGAGTAAGAACCCCATACAGGTAAATCTGTTTGGGGAATGAAAGACAAATGGGAGTAAGGGAAATCATGCGACCAACCAGACCCAGAGTGGAAGACAAGCGGGAGACAAATGAAAGACAAATGGGAGACAAGTGAAGGAAATCATGCGACCAACCGGACCCAGAGTGGGAGACAAGTGGAAGACAAATGAAAGACAAATGGGAGAAAAGTGAAGGAAATCATGCGACCAACCGGACCCAGAGTGGGAGACAAGTGGGAGACAAATGAAAGACAAATGGGAGACAAGTGAGGGAAATCATGCGACCAACCAGACCCAGAGTGGAAGACAAGCGGGAGACAAATGAAAGACAAATGGGAGACAAGTGAAGGAAGTCATGCAACCAACCGGACCCAGAGTGGGAGACAAGTGGAAGACAAATGATAGACAAATGGGAGACAAGTGAAGGAAATCATGCGACCAACCGGACCCAGAGTGGGAGACAAATGAAAGACAAAGGGGAGACAAGTGAAGGAAATCATGCGACCAACCGGCCCCAGAGTGGGAGACAAATGAAAGACAAAGGGGAGACAAGTGAGGGAAATCATGCGACCAACCAGACCCAGAGTGGGAGACAAGTGGGAGACAAATGAAAGACAAACGTGAGACAAGGAAGGGAAATCATGCGACCAACCAGACCCAGAGTGGGAGACAAGTGGGAGACAAATGAAAGACAAATGGGAGACAAGGAAGGGAAATCATGCGACCAACCAGACCCAGAGTGGGAGACAAGTGGAAGACAAATGAAAGACAAATGGGAGACAAGTGAAGGAAATCATGGGACCAACCAGACCCAGAGTGGGATACAAGTGGGAGACAAATGAAAGACAAACGGGAAACAAGGAAGGGAAATCATGCCACCAACCAGACCCAGAGTGGGAGACAAATGAAAGACAAGTGTTGGAAATCATGCGACCAACCGGACCCAACACTCTGAGGACGCAAGCCCGGAGACACAGTCAAAATCATACGACCAAGGCAAGCAACCCTTTCTAAGGAGTAAGAACCCCATACAGGTAAACCTGTTTGGGGAATAAATACATACATTTGATACCTTACGGTATATGATGTTACATTGTGTTACACTACATTGTATTTTATTACATTACAATACATTACATTCATACATTCACTCATGCATACATACATACGTACGTACATAACACAACACAACACTACACTAAACTACATTACATTACGTTAAGCTAGATTACATTGCATTACATTACTTACATGCTTACAGGCTTACAGACTTTCAGACTTACAGGCTTACAGACTTACACTTACAGACTTACAGACATACATACATACTTACATGCTTACATACTTACATACTTCTTACAATTCATTGCATTACATTACATTTACACTTACACTTACACTTACACTACCTACCTACATTACATTACATTACATTACAATGCATTGCATTGCATTGCATTACGTTACATTACATACATACATGCATACATACATCTTGAATGCCAAACAACATACACACTTTTTAATCAAGGACGTTCCATTCCATCATACATACATACATACATACATACATGCATGCATGCATGCATGCATGCATGCATACATACATACATACATTAATTACATACATACATACATACATACATACATACATACAATAATTACATACATATATACATACATGCATACATACATACATACATACATACGTACATACATACATACATACTTACATTACATTACAATACATTACATTACATTGCATTGCATTACATTACATTACATTACATACATACACATGTGAATACGTTAGGTTACGTTGCGTTACATTACATCACATTTGCATTACATTACTTGACATCACATGACATATACAACAAAACATAACATAGCATGGCATAGCAAAACTTAATATAGCATGCACACACACACACGAATACATACACTACTTAAGAAGGGGAGCACGAAAGGTAGGGGGCCAAGATGGAGAGTGAAGAAGTTGGCTGGCATGTCAGACCAACGGACGATGATGATGATGATGACGACGACGATGGAGTGCTACTCTACGGGATCATTTTTTTGGTTGCAAACAGCAGCAATGCAGCCATTCTGGATCGATCATATTGAATCCCTACGTCGACTTCCAGGCATAAAGGATTGGATCAAACTAGGGCATATCCAAAAATCATACTTAGAATAGTCACATCACACGTCGGATGCCAAAACAGCGCTACAATAATGTAATCCAAATCCCGGGACAGATTCCGGAATAAAGTACACCAACTGGAATGCCTTTTTTCTTTGTTTATTCACCGATGTTTTTCCCCGCCTGCTTTTCTGAATCTGACTTCAAAAAAAAAAAGTCCTGCGGTTGCATATTCTTATTGCGTTTTGCGGTAAAAATAGCTTGTGTTGGGGTTGGAATCCGACTTCAAAAAATATCCAACTCCTGACGTTGTTGAAAGAATGACTTCCGGAAAACTCGCAAACGGGGTAGCCTTGAAAACAGGGGGAACCTAAATAAGCAGCATCGCCTGATCCCCCAGTAAAGTTCCTATTTTTTGGGGCCAAACGATTTCCATTCTAATTCAACCTCCAACTAGTTTAGCTTTCACGCCAATTTCAAATGGAAATGTTTAGAGCCAATTGTCATGTCATGTCGGTTCCAATTATTCAAAAGCTATTTGCACTTATATTATATTATATTCAAATCAAATTGAAATCAATTTCAATACCAGTTCAAGTTCAGTTGCGATTAAATTCAAATCACGAGCAAGCCAAGTCGAAAGCAACTTTCAGAAACAATATCCATCTCCGTTCTCAAGCAGCTTTCCATGAATACATATTGCAATCACCACGAAAGCTTTACCTGACTCCATGCTCGGCGCCCCAAGATGTTTGTTGGGCTCACGGCTCACCTTTCAATTAAGTGCCAGGGGGGGTGTCCCGGTTTGACTTAGAAGGTATTCGTGTACCTATTATATTGCATCGGTAAAACAGTACCCGACCAACGATCCGCTCGAAGGATTTTGTTTCAATTCCAAAGCCGGTGGTAAGTTGACTCAGCAAAAGGAAAAGGACCTTCGCCTGAAAAAAACAATGCAAACAAACGCAACCAATTACAAATCAGCAGCGATTGTCCAATGAAAAGTGTAAGGCAAAAAGAAGAAAATCAGCTGCTCCCGCAGCGAAGAAAATGAAAATTCCCAAGGTCCGTTCAAAGCAAGAGAGGCATGCATGGCGGAAGAGAGGATTGAGCCCAGGGGTGGGGGGTCCTGAAATGAAAGGGAACCCCCTGAATAATCAACGGCTCCACCCTCCCCTTTTCTGCGTAAAGTAAAACTTAAGGTAGTCCCACGGGAGCTACCTTTCGTGACATGACATGACATGAGATGAGATTAGATTAGATTAGGTTTAGTTTGATTTGATTTGATTTCTGTACGTTACACTACACTCTCGGACATTCGTCTCAAGTGTCACGCACGCGTGTGAGACCGGTGCACCCGCCGACAAGTGTTTTGTGAGCGAGCGGACCTTATCCGTAAACTAATTAAAATGCAGGCACCCGCAGCGAAGAGAGACGTGGGGCGAACGCGAATTGGGTCTTAAGTCCTGCAACACAGCGGTGGGGGGTGCAGACACGACCATTGAAACCAGAAGAGTCAAACAGAGCACCAAATGTGCGTATGGACTTGACCTTGGTCAGACACGTGGACCACGGGACCGACACGCCTGACCTCAGGACAGCGTCAAATGTTCGCTTCCAAGTTCGGAACATCGTCACGAAAGAAGGAATTGCGAACTCCAACGAAGGGTCATCCTGAACCCAAACCCAGTCATGATAGTGCATTACATACATTACATACCTTGCATACCTTACATACATTACTTACACTACATACACTACATACATTGAATACACAACATACATTTCATACATTACATACATGAGATGTATTACATATATTACACACGTGACATGCATGACATTCACGACATACGCGACGTACGCGACGTACATGACATACATGACATACATGGCATGCACATGTCAAAACACATCTACATACTATATGCATCTATATGCAATGTGATGTGTTAGATATTCAATCTTTACGTACACATTCATGTAAATGTACCGTACATTGAGTACTATCTGTCCTCACCACTTTCCAGAAGCAAGGAACAGGGTCAGAACAGCACAGGCCGTATACGAGCTGGCCACAGCCTGGCTGAGTCTGAATCGACATCTCATTCCTGAGATTATATCCTGTTATATTGGGGTGGTCTGAAGAAAGCGTCCCCAAAAATTCCTCGGTTTATCATAATATTCCTTATTATTCCTTATTATTCCTTATTTAAATTGCCATTTTGATCCATTTTGGGTATCCACACAATTCGGAGGTGAAATCCGCATTCTGCCGGCCACGGCACCTTGATGCCCCAGACTCCTCCGTAGCACAATCCGTTCACGACATCCTACCGCACGGCTGAGCAGATTCTGTCGAAACCGAACCAACAAAACGCTTCAGTGCAGGAAAAGCTTCCTTTTGGAGAATGATTCAGAAATTCCATGAAAATTCTGGCATGCTTCTTAGAGATTCTTGTGACCGACATACCGACCGACATACCGAGGAACCGAAAAACAACTATACCGAGGCTGCCGAGGAACCCGATACGTCGTCCCCATGAAGCCACAGGTCACTCCGTTGCCAACCGTTGCGATCTTGTCCAGGAAGTTCACATCCTGAAACAAAATGCTTTCGACAGAAATCACTCGAATCAGCTCCAACTGGATGTGAGGGGAAATCTACCGGAAACATCCGGAAACCATGGTGTTTACCATGTTTAGCTCCAAATGTAATGGTTATTAATGGTTTCCATAGTGGTTTCCTGTGAGATTTCCATCCTTTGGGATGTAAGGCCGTGACCAACAGGTTCTTGAGATTCACCTGGATCTGCGACAAAGCACTGCTCGTTGACGAATCCACTCGTGCAAAGACCAAATCCAGGAGGCCGCTGTAGGCCTGGCTTTCCACAAAGGGCGAAACTTTAAACATGCTTATTAAAGATGATGAAGATGCTTAATGAATTCTTAACTATGCGTATCTTAATAAAGAAGAAGAAATATACAAAAAACATATAGGAAGTTCTGTTCGAATATCTCCATGTTCACTCTTCACTAGTGTAGCGTCGCGCGTCCTGCACGAGGGCGACAAACGTTGGCAGGTCGCCTCGGCTGAAGCTTTTCATCGCAGCTGTGTCATTGATCCTGCAGCTGAGGCGGATACAGTCATAAGTCACCTCAGTGAAGGTGCCATCAGCCTCCTTGCAGTCACCTGTCCAAGTCCCACCAACTTGCGCCATGAACTGAACCTCAGAGTGGCAGTGGCGTCTCTGACTTAAAATAAACTGGTCGAATTTCACTCGCTATAAATCTTAGTGGGTCCTGCATGTCTTGGTCATTTGAGACATTCTACCCACTTTTGTTCATTTGCGTCACTCTGTACCTCGTGAAGCAACTCAGACTCTGACAGTGCATGGCACAGAGCTCACGGTAAAGCGCCGGCACTTGAAAATCGTCTGAGATCTGATGGCCTCCCAAATTGCTATGCTGGAGCCCAGATCCTTTGCAGTCCGGTTCCTAATTCAGCCCAGGTGCAAATTTCAGGTCCATAAACTTCTTCGCAGCTTCCTGCAATCGCTCGAAAAACTCCAGGTCCCACCAGGTGGACTCGACCACTGGGGCTCTGGCACAGGCAGCGTAGTCCGTTGCGCCAAGCTGTGCAGAAGTCTCAGAAATGCCGAGTTTCGCTCCAGTGAGTTCAACAGATCAACCACTGAATCTTTCGCACATCAAATACATTCGATGACTTTCGAGGCTCTTCATCGGAATAACTTGTTAGAGGGGAAAAAAACTCAGTGGGTTTGACTTTCCAGTGCCTGTTGAGGATTCCAGCTACGTTACAGCCATGTTGTTTCTTTTTGTCCTGCATGATATTTCTTCACTCTTTACTATAGATTCACATAAAACGGGGAAGAAGTCCATGGATGAGCTTCCACTCCTGGACAAACATGGACGAAACACCTTGCCGCAAATATCGCGGAGGTATGTGAAGGTACCTTTTTCTATCATTTTCTATGCTCCCCTCCGTGTCCGGTTTGAAGATGACAATGTTGTGCGTAAGTTACGGAAGGAACCATGTCCTGCAGTGTTCAATACTGTGCATCATTCACGGGTAGCTGGAAAACGAAACAGACTTGCTCTGCTGACCAAGAGACCTTGCATGTAAAGTCAGAGGCACAATTTGATCTTGATATTGTACTGGCTGCGTAGGTAGGACCTTCAGCGCTGCTCTTGACTTCATGGGATTGAGCTTTGTGCAGCGCTGTGCTTTGCAACTTCCATCAAGCGTCAATAATCCGCTGGCCTTTCTGGAATGCTTGACTTGAAGTCTTGGCACGACATGAATCCATCTGTCCCTACAAAGCATGGACCGAGTGCAAATGAGCAACTCAGCGTGGAAAGGAAGCTCGTGATTCCCTTCCTTGGTCATGGATGCGTCACTTGAAGGAACATGATGAAACGTGAACTTGGCATAAAACTTCCATGCCAAGAGCATGAATCCAAATCGCCGGCATGACTCTCGCCGTAGAAGTTGAATTTGCTGTGTACATTCAGACACCAATAGCAACATCATGCAACAACAATAATTGATATGTTGTTCGAGTTTCGCCCTCTCATGTCCTGGTCTAAACTTGGTGTGCATGGAACATCTCACGGGAAAAGTGCATCCAAGTCACTGGGTAGTTCCCTCGCCAGTCAATCCAAAACCGGTGGGCACAACGTTATCTGCACACGCGGCTGTAGATGCAATGTAAGGTGCCATGTCGGAGTTTGCAAGCATGTCCTTGGTACCAGGTGGACATTGGCACTATCAGCAAGTCTTGGCAGTGAGACTTGGCTGATCGAAGCCAGCACAATCACGGCCAAAACGACCGAACAAATTGTTTGGCAAAACCAAATGGACAACTGCAACCTAGGCAACTTTGCCTGGTAATTGGCATCCCCAGCCCAATCATAAGATGATTTGGGCAACCTTGGCTCCGACGAAGACAACGCATGGTGTCCTTTGGAACTTATATGAACATTTCATAACATTTCTGCATATTTCTGCATTGTTCACCATGTTCTCACAACTCGGTCACATCTGAATAACTGCCATGTCGCATCATGGTATCTAGTGCAATAGTCGACCTTGGCTGTGTGCAAATGCTCGAGTGCTCGGGTGAGAAAGATCTGTTCTTTGGACCAGATCAAACTGAGGGAAGGGTGAAGGATCGAAAGGTAGGGGTGTGTGTGTGTGTGAGTGTGGTAGGTAGGTGTGGGTTGGAACAGGAGCTGTGTTGGGGAGGGATACGATAGGGAATGAAAGTAGAGAGAGCGGTGTGAACACACAAAGGTCACACACCTTTTTAGACCAGAGCGAGGCTGCCAAACTGCCAGTGGCTGCTGCGTATAAGTAGATCGTATTACAGGTTGTGATCGTTATGTGCTAGAGTGGTAGGAAATAACATTGAATATAACATTGAATAACATCAAATAACATCAAGCTACTGACGTTGTGAAAAATGCTGGTTTGAATATGGGACGTTGGTCTTCGATGTCCAGCGGCCAAGGCTCCAAGGATGGGCAGAATCGGCAGATGTGCAGGTCACAGGCACAGTTCAGTGCCAGGGACAGAGTGGGTTAGATGACGGTAAAGCGACATAGGCGACATAGGTTAGAAAATGACGATGTAGGTTATAGCGAGGTGCAACATACAATGCAGGAGCAAGGTAGTGGTCGGGGAATATGTCACAGCGCGATTGCTTTTACGATGGACCTGAATCGAATCTGGGGGGAGCTAAAGGGAGACTCAAGACTAAACTGACTAAACAGCCCAAACTCCTCCACTTGCGCCGGACCCCGCCCAATACTTGCTAAAGGAAGGCTTGACGCCACCTTTCGAGAAATGCTGCGTGTGGACAGGCTTTCGAATGTGCAAAACACGAAGATCAGGAAGTCCAGTTGAGACACTCTCAATTGGCACATTAGATGCCAAAGCGGTATTTTCTGTATTAGCCAGTGTTTTGCAGCAGTCTTTGAACATCTTACAACCACAAAACGGAAGGTTAATAGGAAACCTTGTCTGAAGTGGCCAGGTGGGGAAATGCATGGTCCATAGATCCAAAGACATATTTTCTGCAAGACCGTTTTGAAACAAAATGTTGGCTTTAGGCCTCTATATAATGCATATATTGCGGGTTGGAGTTGCCCAATAGATGTCGCACGTTTCACATGACTTGTAATGTAAACAAATGGATGTGACATATTGTGGAACTCAGCTGTACTCAGCCAGCTGAGGTGCAACATGTTTTTCAGCAAAACAAAGTCGTCAGATGTAGCGATACTGGCACCACCCGTGTTCATGCTGGTGCCGATCTGATCAAATTGTGACGCGATTTGGTCCTGGCACAGAAACAGCTTTGCTAATGACTTCGATATCCATGAAAACATCATACTTCCAAGGGCCGATTTCTCATGTGGCAGCCACAAATTCTGGATGTTGTATAGCCTGTATAGCAGTGAAAATCGTAAAACCCCAAGTGGTCCTTGGTTTGACCCACCAGCAAGTCGTACATGGTCACCGTATTTCCATTGGCATCTGGGACAGAGATAAGATCCAAGAGCCTGGATATGGCGCCAAAGTTGGAAAACTTCGTGGAAAATCCCGGCAGTTTGCTGCAAGAATATAGCACCAAGTGGCCGTGGATTTCCGGTCGCATTGCCAATACACTGATCTATCATGGATCCCATCATATCACCTCAGTGCTGCCAACATCAACTGAGCAGTCAGTAGTGCCAGTAGTGCTAGGCCCCGAACCCTCTGGACCAGTCAGGTTCAGGTTCATGGGCGCTGCAATGGAGTGCAGCAGGTCACCTTGAGGCCCAGGGTGTGGCCCAGGGCAAGTCGATCAAATGTGGCACATTGTGGCACCCTGAGGATCCCACTGGAAATGTCTTCCAGGATCAGACAGAAGGATGACAAAGGGACTGCCAGTATCGTTAACAAGCCACCCAAAAAGAAGGCCAGCATGGTGTAGTAGCAGCCTCAAGACCACAAGGAGCCACAGCCGATCCTCCGTTCTTCAAGACATGAACAAGACTCCAAGACTCCAAGACTCCAAGACTCCAAGACCCACCAAATTTGTGCAAGGCCAAGCAGCCACAGCACCAGGTACAACAGGCACAGCGGTGAACTCTCTTGTAGTACACTGGTTGACCACGATCTCAGCCCAAAGAATAACCCGTCTCTGGAAAACGACTAAGAGGCTTATGAACAGTATAATAGCAGTGCAACTGAAACGGCAAACAGAAAAGTGTCTCAACCTACAGTCTGTACACAACCAAAGGCAACTCCACCTGCTCAGCACTGCAAATTCAACAGGTGAAACATGTTCATTCTACCCGAGAGCTCAGCAGAGAGTTGTCAAACATCGAAATCCGAAGAGCTGAGATTTCAAAATCTCTTTCAAATACACAGTGAATACACATTTACAACATTTTACAACTGTAGTTACGGCCGTTGCTTAAAAGATGAGATAAATGCAGTGAGGGCAATGGCATTGAGCGTCTCCAGTGTCTCCAGTGTCTCCAAGTTCTGTGGAGCCACCGGAACTGGACTTTTCTTGGCACATCCACATGATAATGGAGATCATCGCACATGCTGCCAGAACCAATGCCAAGCCTCAGGCTCGTCAGGCTGCAGGCTCGTTTCATCTTGTTTCAAACATGATAATTGAACAACAGATACATACAGATACACAAATGGAACTCTTAATCTTCAACCTCCAAGTTGGTCCATTTAGTCCATTTAGTCCATTTAGTCCAGAAAAAACAAAACAAAGCATAATCGAAGCTGGAAGCAAAAGGCTCGCACAGGGGTCAGTTCTATGCTGTGTGCAGCGAACGTCCATCGCATGTCATCGTATTTTTTTCTTGTAGAGCTGAAAAGGACGTCTTCTACACATTCTACAGATTCTACGGATTCTAATGGATTCTACAGTGATCATGACTCGGTTCTTTCCAAGCAGCCAATCATGAAGACGCTGGCAACTGTCCTCGGCTCTCAGGTAGGCAGATTGCTCGACTCACGAAACGCGCACGTTTCCAAATAGAAAACACGCTCTTTCTGCCATTTTTCGTGTCTCATTCCAGTTTCCAACAGATTGCCAGATGTGCATAGATTTGCACAACAAATCGGCCAAAGATCCCGTTGGCTGCCAGCTGATCCGAAATTTGTTCCATAATCGTATCGCTGACAAAGGGTTCGAACGCGTTCTTCACGGTGGTCTTCAGCTCCACCAAGGGAGCCGTAGCCTTAACGCCATTGTGAAAGGACAGAAGGCAACTCCTGCTCTTAACAACTCAACAACCACCAAACATATTGAAACAAACATAAACAAACAGTGATGAAGCATTGTGAAACATCATTCATTTTAACGATGCTTCTTCATTGATGTTTGGATAATTCTTGGCGCAACTAATCTTGTACTGCACAAACTCGCATGAAGCATCTGCAAACACACAGAAGGAAGTCTCTGCTTGCAGTCCAATTGCAATTCCCATGGAACTTCGCAAATTCTCCAGCGAGCCTTAGATTCATTTTCTTGAAGACATCTGCTTAAGCGCACTACCATGCATCCCTTCTCCAAAGTCTGACTGAGTGCACAAAAACATATAAAAAAAAGCTGTTTCACACATGACTCAGCTGAGGTACTTCCGGACAACTGGTTATTTACTTCAACTCGAGCACTGCTTAGAGCTTGAGCTGTACCAGTTGTCAAGGCAGTGCCAACCTGCCAGCTTCGTGTCCAAACCGTCCAAACCCTTTTCAGCTTCGTGCCAACTGCTCTTTCTGATCAGTACAAGATTGCTTCAAGTCCCTGGAATACCTGGAAGTCCCTGGAAAGCAAGAGTAACTGAGTAACATAGGCATCAATGAACATGAGGGAAAAAGGTTTCCTCTCAACAACTCAGCCACATCTCTGCCTGGGCGAGAGTTGTTGAAAGAGCGGCACAACCAATACCTCTGGGCTGGGTATTTGCAATGATGGGCTAGTGACTGGCGTAGGCTGGACAGGGAAGGCTACAGCGCGACACATGCCACAAGTCGATGAAAACTAGGCCCCCGACACTCATGCAGCGTGCCAGTTGGTTCAATGTTCGATGAATCGGCCAACATGTTGGCCAATAAGTCAACGTTGGCCTCAAGCAGTCTGAAGGTAAAAGTATCAGATCGGAGCTTGGCAAGAAGGATCAAAGAGAACAGGGGGAAAAATGATGCTTCCTTTCATGAACGTTCTTTGATCTTTCTTATGACTATGACGTTACATGAAAACATGAGGTTAGACAACTTTGCTTTTGCACTGCGGCACTCGTGAAATCACAATACCTTACACTGCGTTACATCCTGTTCCGTCAAGTTACGTACATGGCATCTCATTGCAAATATAGCATTGAATTGGATCGCACTACTCTGCACTATCTTCTCAACACATCTCAACACTGTATATACCACTTTGCATTAAACAAGGTTGCGCTTACGTACCTTATAGAGTGAAATGAAAACACACACTCGTTCAATGTCTTTCAATAAAGAAAAAATGAGCTTATATAAACAACAAGCAACTTTTGCGACTGCCACGGCGTCAGTGATCTCCTTAGTGAAATTCCAAAGAGCCAGACTGAGTTGCGAGACAAGTCTGCTTTGTCAAGGCATGCAGTATATACAAATATGTACAACAGCACAGAACTATCTTGAGTCATACATCATCATACATCTAATCTAACTTCATTGAAATTGTTGAACCAAGTTGAAGCCATTAAAAAGCTGAGAGGAGTTGGCAATGTCGCTTTACACAGATTCCAGTTGCTCCAGTTTGCCGCGGCACTTTGGTGTTGTCCAGGATGCCAGTGAGCGATGTTATGAAGGTTGACCCGGCTGCCAAACTTCCTGGCGTCGCGGTCCACGCCCTGCTGACAGTGCTGACAGTGCTGACAAAAATTACACCAAAAATGCATAGAACAAGCGACTGCTTCACGGCCGGCTTCGCGCACCTTGCAGCTCGTCAAAAATCGTCAAGACTGGAATCAATCCCAAGAAGTAGGGATCTGCTTGACCCTGGAAGGTAGCATTCACCTCAAAATCAATGACGACTGGGAAGTGGAGTGGAGCGATCTCAATGGCAATTTCCAACCAAAATCAGGCAGGGCTAGACCCAATCGTCACTCTAATGCTGAGCCATGTCACCATCTTGGCAGCAGCACAGTTCGTTACATCAAATCCTTCTGTGGCCTTTGCATAGCCTCTTGTTGAAAGGCTACTCACGATGACAAGGGCCAACACAAAGCCACCAATCCTCAAGTCGCAGCTTCGTAAATTTGGATGGTAACATACAATTGTCACTCACAGCCAATCAAGTGCCAAGATCCAAGATTCATCAGCAAAAAAAGCAACTTGGCCAGGAACGGAATCTGTCTAAGCCTTCATGAGAAGGGAATCTGCGGAGGGTGGGTCAAGTCATTCTGCATCATTGTATCTATCTCATAAGTATAGAAACTATATTGGATGAACTTTGGTGTCCACCTCTTTCCAAACATCCAAATGGATCCAAATGGCAACAGCAGGGAGCGCGTTGAGCTCTGCCCCATGTGCAACGCGCCTCGCGCAACAACGGCAGCACTTGCAAAATGGGCAAGCTGTCCAACAGCAGCAGAAGGTATAGAAGATAAGGAGGATGAAGAACATGATCTCGGCACAGTCAGCTTCGCTGCTTCGCTTCGCAACTTGATCAACATGCAGATCCAGAAGCACCAGAAACCAATACTGGTGGACCCTTCAACCTATTATCCAAAACGAGGAACCAGTGGTGCCGCAGCCCCAATCATTGCGGAGGGCAACCTCTCTGTGACCAAAGTTGTCATCTCCTCTTGGGTAGCGGCTTCCTGCAGCTCGAGCCCAGAATTGGACACAATGTTAGCAGGGTCTCATCTCCCCCGCATATCAGCAAACTCTGAATAAGAACATGATTGTTCTTGGACCTCAGCAAATTAGATTCATGATGATTCATGTCTCCAATCGAGTAACATCTCTTTTGTTTTAGCTTGCCCTGACTCCCACATAGGGCACAGATCTGTCCGTCATGATCGTTCGCAGAATGTTGTTCGCGGAGGCATCGACTAATTGCGCCCGGGCGGTATCATAATCCTGACCGAAGGCAAAGAAATCAAAAATTGGCGCCAGGCCTTGTCCACTTTCCGAATTTGATTCCATTGCAAATCCATTTGATTTCACCCTTTTGGACTGCCCAGGGAGGTTCACTTCGTGAAAAAAAACTGAAATCAAATTTATTTCCTAGGGTTCCAACCTATCAAATAGAAAATTTAATCAGGTAAATCTTGGAAATGTGAGCTATAACATCCTCACTACATCAAAAATCCTTAAAATCCTTAAAAATAAAAACCTTATCTCCCAGCTTCTGAATTTCAGTCGTATTTATCCAACATCTCAATTTGTTTACCTTGTCCTTTAACCCCCCTCCTCCAAAACAATCCTATCTTGAGTCCGCGCCGCTAGCAAACACCAAGTCAAGGTGCTCCGCTGGCGTGTTTACCAGTAGTACCGCACAAGGCGGTGGCGGGAGGTTTAAAAATAGGAAACATATAGGAGTTTGGTTGTTGTGAATCACGGACGGCAGAGAGAACCCATTGCTGGACCGAAAGGTGGTTGGAGCTGTGTTTTTTGGAGTGGTTGCAATGGTTGCAGTGGTCACCTCACCCACAACTGCTGGATGTAGTGTGTGTGTGTAGTGCAGTTGTTATTGTAGTTGTAGTGTAGTGGAGATGTGGCTGTAGTGTAGTTGTGGTTGCAGTTGTAGTTGTGGTGTGGTGCAATTAGTGAAGTGTAACGTAGTGTAGTTTCAATTACTGTAGTGTTGTGTACTGTAGTGTAGCATAGTGTAGTCTAATGTAGTGTGAAGCAGCGCAGTTGTAGTTGTAATGTAGTGTAGTGTAATTAGTGTAGTGTAGTGTTGTGTAGTGTAGTATGGTGTAGTGTAGTTTAGTTGTAGTTGTGCGTAGCGCAGAATAATTAGGGTAGCGTAGTGTTGTGTAGTGTAGTTTATGGTGGTTGTAGTTGTAGTTGCGGTTGTAGTTGTAATGTAGGCCAGGGTAGTCCAAGTATTGTAGTGTAGTGTAATGTAGCGTAGTTGTAAGTTGTAACTGTAGCTGTAGTAGTAGTAGTAGTAGTAGTAGTAGTAGTAGTAGTAGTAGTAGTAGTAGTAGTAGTGTTGTTGTACTGTAATTAGTGTAGTGTACTGTAATTAGCGCACTGCAGTGCACTGTAATTACTGTAGTGTAGTGTAACTAGTGTAGTGCAATGTGGTGTAGTGAAATTGTAGTTGTAGCTGTAGTAGTGTAGTGTAGTGTAGCCTAATGTAGTGTAATGTAGCGTAGTGGTAGCGGTAATAGTCTGTCTATCTATCTTTCTATCTGTCTATCTATCGATCGATATATCTATCTATCTGCCTATCTGCAAGCTTGAAAACGCAATTATTTTGCGAGACCTCCACAATTTTTGAGCATACCGTACATCAAAAACTCAATGCTGCGAGACTTCCTCCATTTTCGCAGTTGAGAACATCAAAAACGCAGCAATTCTGCAGATGGAAAGTTGAGTGCGGAGCTGGCAGCCTCGTACCAATGCGTTTTGCGATTTTTCCTGTCTATGTGTCTAAAGTACTGCGCCTGCCACGATACAGTGAGGCCAGATCATACGAAGTGCTGCACCTGTCACGCAAAAACATCTTAGCAAACCTGAAGATCTGATGCTCCAAAATGCAACCCCTCTGAGGAAATCAGCGCTCTGACCTCCTAACATCTCTGGTGACCATGTCTCTTGTACTGCGCCTGCCACACGACATGCATCTTTCCAGATCCTCTTCACATGTCCCACGCCTGCCAACATGTTTGAAACTGCTACAAAACCCTATCCAAAAGGGGCGCGAACATGTGGTGCTTTTAGCATTTTCACTTCCAAACGCGCTTCACGCCACAACGGCGTGCAATTTTTCATCATCTCAACTTCCAAAAGTGGTCCGACAATGCTGTGTTTTGTACATTTTGGCTTCGACATATGCTTCGCGCCACAACGATGTGCACTTTTTCAACATCTCATCTTCCAAGAGTGCTCTGACGTTAGTGTGTGTTTTGTACGTTTTTACTTCGAAGCGTGCTTCGAGCCACAAACGGCGTGCAATTGTTCATCTCTTATCTCGCCAGATGGCTCCGCACCCCCCGCTTTAGCGAGCCTACTTTTCCACCCCCAAAACATTCGAAAAACACAGTGTTTTGCGACTTGCCTACCTTCTCGTGCGCCTGCATCTCCTTTCTTCTGACTGCTTCTCTTCTCTAACCTTCTTTCTACTGACTCTTTCTCTTCCCTGACTCTTCGCACCTCTGGTTTTTCATCTGCCCATATTGTCGGAAGTTTGCCTTCTAAAGTTCAATCGATCATACCAAAATTTTATCCTGTCTTTTAACCCCCCTCCTTCAAAATTATTTTACATATGGCCAAGATAAAAAAAAATAAACTCCTTGTTCCTGGACCTAGGGCACGAGGTCATCTATTATGCATTTTACTATCGATATTTCAAACTTTTTTCTATGTAACAAACCTTTAGCATGCGCAGGTTTACTCAATATTTTGGATTTGCATTGTGTATTTATTCTTTATAATACAATATTATATTATATTATATTATGTTATACTATATTATATTATAATAAACTATATTATATTATACAATACAATATTATATAATATTAAATTATAGTTTATTCTATTTTACATTATATGCTATCAAATATTATATTATATCATATTATTATATTATCATATATTATATTATATTATATTATCATATGTTATATTATGTTTTATAATTTTATTATATTATATTTTACAAGTTTATTAAATATTATTAAAATTTCAAAAATTTATTCTATTATATTATATAATATTATATTTTATGATGTTATATTATATTATGTTATATTACATATTATGTTGTATTTTATTATATTATATTACATTATATTTTATTATACTATATTTTTCGTTTTATGTTAGATTATATCATATTTATGATTTTATTATACTTTGTATTATATTATATTAAATCATGTTAAATTATAATTTTCCCTTTATATCATATGAAATAATAATTATTATATTTTATTTTATATTATATTATGTTATTTTTTACTTTATTTTATTTCACATATGATATATTATTTTTTACATATTATATTATACGTGTGGGCCTGGGTGGCTGTGCTTAAGCTTGGGCCTGGGGACTGATTTTTATATTATATATATGTGTTATGTTATATTATATTATATTACATTACATTATATCATCTTTTATTACATAATATTTTAAAACTTAAATATTATATTTTATTCTATGTATTAATTTATTATATATTGATATAGTTTAAATGAAATATTAAAGATGACATATCATATATAATTTATCATATACCATATACCATGCATTAAATATAAAAAAATAAACTATTTATTATATATTAGATATTTTTAATTATATATTACATACTAAATATTAAATATTGTATATTATATTTTATATATTATATTTGAAATAATAGTTATTATATATATTTTTCTTATATATTATAAATTATATGTTGTATATTTTCTATAATAAGAAAAATTCATATTGTATATTGTTTAATATCTATTCTTTATAGTATATAAGATTTAATATTTTATATTCTATTCAATTCTATTCTTTTTTATTATAGATTATGTTTTTTACATTATATATTATAATATTGTATATTCTATTCTATTATATCATTTTATACTATATATTTTGTATTATTTTTATATATATATATATTATATTATACAATATATTATATATTATTTTTAAACTTTTTATATATGTTATATATTTTATATTATTTATATTACTTTCACAGATTATGAGCTACAAACCCAGAGCCTTTTGCTGCATGATCTTGAGCCAAAAGTACACATCCCATTGGATGGTGTTGGCAACTATGCAGGGGTTGAATTTTTAACACCCCTCCTTCAATGCAAGTGTTAGCTTTGCTACACTTAAGTTGATTGTAGCGCCTTTGCACCTTTCGCAGGTCCTTCACGAAACTCTTGACACAAGGTCTTCATGTGTCGTTCACACTTCTCCCTGCTCACAGGCTTGGTGAGCAAATCTGCCGTGTTGTTTTTCGTTACTAGGATCTCAACGGTTCCTTCGGCCACACGTTCCTGGATCCAAAGATACCTCGTCTGAACGTGTCGGAGTTTCCCTCGTCCTCTTCTACTTGCAGTGCCACGTGCTGCACTGCTGTCGCTGTACACCTGAAGATCGTACTTCACACCCCAATCTTCCATGAGTGCTTGGATACTCATCCCAAGCGCAGTCGACTTGACCAGGGCGCAGTACCCTGACTCTCCTGATGATAGTGCGATTGTAGACTGTAGGTTGCTTCCATGTTTTACACAGTGTCTTCCGATGAGCAGGGTGTAACCAGTTGTGGGTCGTCGAGTAAGCAAACATCCTGCATGATCTGAATCTATTTGGACCTTGATCACTTTCTGCTTCCGCTGCCTCTCGTAGACGTTGACCACTCTTGGTCTTCCAACAAGATAGCGTCCAAGTCTTTTGAGATCTTTAAAGTCTAATTCGTTAGGGCCTTTCATTCGTTCTGCCGTCACCGTCGGGAGTCCCGCCGATGCCAGCACATCGCTCGCTTTCTTCTTTTCCGCTGGTGTAGATACACTCTTTGCGTTCTGTAGGCTCAACTGTCTGAAAATCATTTCAGCATGTCGTGGATCAGCCTCGTAGCTGACTTGTCCACTTGTTCTGTCATAGCTGATCAACCGGTTCAGTACGGTCAATTGGTCTCCTGCATGTCTTCCTATTCTTCCATCACACCTGAACTCGTATCTTTCGTTGAGTACCTTCTGCATGAATTCCTGTCCTTTCTTGTCTGCCAGTACAAAGAAATCATCTCCATGTACGAGCAGTTTGATATTGAGGTATTCGTGTCTGAACACTGACGTCCATGCTTTTCCGCATTGAAACTTGTGCTTCCCAAGAAGTTCCGAGTAATCAGCCTGCCACACATGGCTGGCGTCTTGGGTACCATACATTGTCT